TGCCTCCATAGGGATACAACATGAAGAAAAGTCGACCAATTTCACATGACGAATCAAGACATACGCAAAGGTTGTCTTTGGATAAGGAATGATAACGAAAGAAAACTCCGTCTCAGTCATGGAAGGGTAGGTTTTCGATACAAGTAAACAGTCACGTCGCTAGTAGGCATCACCTATCGTATCTCTTGTAAATCTCAGCCATTTCAGATTTTGACCATTTACCATTCGTTTGCACGTTGAAATGCGAGCTGTGCCATGAGAAATTACTCGACGGATGATCGATGTACCAGTTTGGACCGTATTCGACCTGAACCACATTAGCCATATTGTCGCATATGGTTTTGTTGTTAGAAGAGAATTCTGTGATAATCTTTCAGTCGTAACGCTGCAATATTGATCATTTAGGGACAAAAATATAAAAAATGTAAAAATTGCTCCATTGCAAATATCAAGGAGGTGCTTCCACAAAAGGTTGATACTGCATTCTGAGATGTTTATTTAGTTTCGAGATGGTGAACGAATCCCGGTACCAGGGGGACGATCTAGCGAATCTGAACCTCGTTGCCTTTGCGAATTTCTCTGAAGAAATAGTCACAAAAAACTGCCGAAACAACTGACATTGTATACTACTCGCTACTCAGACAGCGGACTAATGCTCTCTAGTTGCAACGGACTTCATACGCTAAAACGGTGGTATTTGGCTTCTGAAGAAGACGATTCACTGGAGACGATTCACTGGAAACCTCAGGGCTTGCACAATAAGTGTTCCACCTGACAAGCTCTGAGCCACGGAGTAAGTTAAATACTTGCAACTACATATTATGTCGAGGCTGCAAAAAGAGGGAAGCTGGAGAACTCACCTCAACTATTTTCTTCGGGTTACAGGGAACCCAGAAAATGTGTCCCAGTAGATCAGCTGCACACGTTTCAGTGATGCTGAAAATTTAGCTTCTCAGATCTTTGAACTTTGAACCAGTGGTCAACCAGGAGTCCAACAGAACAAACTCCGTTGAATGAGAAAGTGTGTAGTACCTAATCAGTCTATAACTTCTGATACCCTTTGACTACTCTGATGATTATTTTACTCCTTTACGGTGGTGTACACTACAACACCTACAACATATCACTAACGCAGCGGAAATGGTACATTGCCTTCCCTTCTCCTCTGGTTTTCCAGAAACTTCCGATTGAAGAATTATCGGATGTGGGATAGTGTTTTCTTGAGAAAAAGGGCGAGGAAGCGGAGTCCATGTTCTGTCGGAGGGAAGTGTAGCCTATATGGTGAGAATAGAGGAACTATCTGTCGACTCTACAACTCTTATTGGATATTGTCCTGAAATGTAGGGAGTCGAGGTTAACTAGTAAAAAAAAGCAGAGGGGGAAAAAAGGAGAGTCCCTCGCTGCTACAGCACGATCCACGAAGCTCATCCTAGTGCTTCCACGGCGGAGCACTTGCACAGACAAGGGCCACGGGGCGGTAACGGGCTTTTTGAGACAGCCGACCTGCGCCACTCACAGCTTACCACTAAGGTCCGATAAATGGCAGATGAAGATGGCCAATCCAAAAGCAGGACGTTAGAGTAAGGGATCGACTCAACATTACCGCAATACTTGTGAGTACAGAGGCAAGGTCCGCGATCAAGTAAAAAAGTGGAAACATGACATCAGGAGGGTAGTGTGGTCTAGGGCGAGCAACATTGCACCGGTTTGTGAGGGAGGGGCGCTATAATGCAATATAGGTTAGTGACGCCTTTTTTCCAGTGACTCCGGCTCCAGACTCCGTCTTCAAAGCCTCATGTTAG